TTGCAAGTCCACTTGCACAAACATTAAATGCTCATTACTGGTTCGCCGAATTTCAGGCACAATTAATTTTTCTGTGAAAATGCGAAGTCGCGTCTGGGTGAGATCGGTGAGGTTGGTGAGGACCGAAGTGAGGTCTGCCAAGCATAGCGGAAGAACCTCTAAACAGTGCCTTATTGAAGGCTAATTAAATGCTGTAGGTAATGAGAAAGTTTGGGTTAGTTTGCAATTTTAATCAGACATTTCCCAAACTTACTCACTTAATCAAAAAAGTAATTCAGCCTGAAATTTGCGATTGGTGTATTTCCGGAGCCTTTAATGTGTCTGCAAGTGCATGGAATTGCAATTTTTGGTGTTGTAGTTAGTCAATTTTTCGGTCATGTTCTGGTGGCTTAAGTTTGAGCTAGCAGAACACCCATTTTAGCGAAAATTGTTGAAGCTTTAAATTTTTCCTTAGGGCATCTAATTAGCCTTTAATGTTCCATGTATTGATTTTTGATTCTGCTGACTTTGCTCTTGCAGCTTAAGAGATGTCATTAAACAATGATATGTTAATTTTTAAGAGCATTAAAAAAATCCTATAAAAAGAAGGAAAAAATACATAGTTTTAGATACATATTTGTAGTTTGTTATGTTACATTATTACGTAAAATGTCAAAGCATATTCAATTTGTACTAAGTGGCATCCATGCTAACGGTCCTCTGGATTGAAGTGTCCGAGGAAGTTTCGCATTTCTCATGTGGCAACAAGCACATGATTATCGACTTTAGCCAATGAGAGGGCGTTTTCAGTCACATGATTTTTTTGTTTAGGTAAATTCGTTATTTTTATGTTTTAATTTATTCAATAAATGGACTAAAATCTTGACAATATTGTTAATTTTCAGTTGCATTTATATATCTGCGTCAAAAAATATCATAATTTGTCATATTACAGGCACGTGAAAGTGGCCTATTCTGTAACGTTCAATTTTTCTCCTCAATTTCTAGGAGGTCTTTATTTAACTTTGACGTTTGCTCTATCAATTAGCTCTGGGTTTTCGACAATTAAGCAATTGGATAATCTCTTGGATACCTTTTTGGATATGTTTAGTTGTCTGTTGTCTCTGCTTGTTAGGTATATTCGCCCCCTTCAATTTTCTTTTCAATTGGATATGGATTTTGACTTCAGCTGCTTGCCCTGGTGTGGTTAGGAACACTATCAACTTAGGGAATCCAGATTGTATCTAATATTCGATGTAATATCAATATCAAGATTTTCAATGGAATACTTTGTCCTTAACCTTAACATAGAACAACATTTCTGATACAAATTTACAATTTCATTAAATAATAAATTATGCATTTTTTGTAATTTTCATACTAAACTTTGTATTTTATAGTCCCTGCAAAGAGGGACTCAATTCCACATATTTAATTTGGATTTTAATTCCTAATAGAGCCTCTGGGTCCTTATTCTTGAAACAGGGGAGCAGCGCTCCCAGGATGCCTATTCTCAAAATCGGGGCGCAGCGTTCTCATGAGAACGATTGCTCTGTCTTTGTCAGTGTTATAGAAATATGGATATGGGCGACGGAGACAGAACCTTCACTCTCAGGAGAACGCAGCTCCCCTGTTTCGAGAATAAGGACCCAGGATTGCTTGCTGTTTCAGCGGGATCTTTTTCAGAGTGATGAATAATGTATGAATAATTACCTTGCCATGAATTTAAACAAATTTATTGTAATGAAGTTTAACGGAATCCAGGACCCGATAATATCCAGATGTTGATCCAGATATTCCCTAATTCTACAATAATGTATAAGGTGGAACAGGTTGAAGTTCTGGATATTCTAAGTGTTTGATCACAAAATAGAATTTAATTTGCAATATACACAATAAAACCTAAATAATTTATTATTAAGATTTGCATGTCTGAAACTTCATATGTTTCCTATTCAAACTGTGAAACCATTCCTATTGCATTCCATTTAAATTAGTTGAACCTTGTTAGTTGTTACCAACTAAATTTATTACAACTTGCAATGGAATTGTTCAAAACTGATCGACCGATACTGCATTTATCTTTACCATTAATCGGTGCTACGCAATACACATCGTTTATTAATAGTAATTACAACATCAAATTCCTCGTTTATGGTTGTTTTGCTCAAAATGGTATTGTGATGTTGGCTTATTATCAGCCAATGTATGTGTAATATTGCTGTTGTCTACATTTGAAGAAATAGTTTTAATTAAAAATTGATTATACAGTGTGCTGAAATCTTCGGGGATCTCGGAAGCTAAAAAAGATATGAGGTTGTTTAAATTGGATCTCGAATTGGACCAAAGTTACATTATTTATTGCTCAACATAATTTAAGAAATTCAATATATTTGAAAAAAAAATTTAAAGTAAAAGACACTCAGCAATGCAAATTTGGTACTTACAATGAACTTTTTGCCTTCCCTTTTCAAGTTTTTTGGTATTAAGTTTTCATCTATACTTCTTCTGAATACTAAATACTACTAAGTATACAGATATGCTATTGGAAGATTTTTTATGTTGTACTTTTTTGATTTTTCATAGGCTATCAATTTTAGTAAAAATCATTAAATTACCTTCTTGATTCTCTCCAAATTTACTCAAAGAATTTACATAAAACAAGTCAAACTGATAACTTGTCTTTTCAATACCTATCTTTTGAATCACCACTTATCTCAATGTCACCTAGTCTATTCAAATTTCCACTTCAGTGAATGATAGCATTTATTCTGAATATGGAGGATTACAATGCAATTACTCAATTTCTCTTTTTTAATGAGAGTTACTTAGAGGTTAATTTACTTATCACTTATTGTGCTATTTTAGAAACAAGGATAACAAATCGAGTAACAGAAATAATCAGTCAATGAACTAAGTATACCTAGAACTACCTAATATCGTTGTTTATTTTGTATAAGTTAAATATGTAATAAGGTCTACACCTTTTCCAATTGTATTTCAGAAGCTGTCAAATGTATTTCAGAAAGTGTTAAATATATTTTAGAATAGCCAAATGTATTTCAGAAAGCGTTAAATGTATTTCAGAATAGTCAAATGTATTCGAGAAAGCATTAAATGTATTTCAGAATAGTCAAATGTATTTGAGAATGCGTTGAATGTATTTCAGAATACTTAGTTAAATGTATTTCAGAAAGCGTAAAATGTATTTCAGAATAGCCAAAAGCATTTCAAAAAGTGAAAATTCGGCGTTATTAATTCAGGAGGGAGGCGACACAAAAAATTTACCTACCTATGTCTGTGCAGTTCTTCCTACGTGAGCTCGACTGCCCAACAGGAGCTTAATAGTAGCATTTAACTATTCTGAAATTCATTTAACACTTTCTGAAATACATTTAACTATTCTGAAATACATTTAACTATTCTGAATTACATTTAAATATTCTGAAATACATTTGACGCTTTCTGAAATACATTTAACTATTCTAAAATACATTTGACGCTTTCTGAACTACATTTGACTATTCTGAAATACATTTGACACCTTCTGAAATACAATTGGAAAAGGTGTAGTTAGTGAACTAAGGATTTGGCTTGTTTTCTTTCTTGATTACGCCGAATACAACGTTTGAAGCTTCTTCGTAAACCTCAAGTCTTAAAGTTGTGGAAACTCCACAACTTAACTTAATAATAATAATAAAACATTTATAGTGACGATATTAGTCAATGAAAGAAGAGCTTATCAAAAATGTAGTAAATTAGATTAATCTTATTACTGTAAAAGGTAATTATTATCTAGAAGGTTGGATCCATACTTCCAAACCAGATATCGTTTTCATGCACAGCACCGTATTAGCGTTTTGTACTTCTGAATAAGATTCTGATGGACTTGAGAAGTCCAAAATAGAATATGTTGGCTATACATATTCAAAATCAATGGAAGAGGGATGTGCTTTTCCAATCCTTCAACGTTTTCTGGATTAGGTCCAGCGATTGAGAACTTCTTTAATATAACCTGTTCTTCATTCCTATTTCTACATTGTGATGTTTAACGTAAGCTTCTTTTTTTAAAACTTTCTACCTTTATCTTCTGCATATATTGTAGTAGGTACATACATTCATATTCGGATAAGTAGTTTGTTATTTGAGGCATTGAGACAAGAGACATTTCTAATTTCGTCTTTAATTTATCCAAGACCCAATTTATCCACCTTCTGATAAACTCTCAGGTAATGCAATCTGACGGATAAAAACGCAATCAATTGTTCGGCCAATACGATTATAGATTGGTAAATTTGTATTGTAGACAGTAAGTTTATCAGATGACGAATAAACCGGCCCTTATACAGTCTAATATAGATAGTCTTCACAAATCATAATTCGACGGTCTAAAATTAGAACTCATCTTATTAGGAAAAGTCTTATTTTTAGATAGATACCTACGCTTCAATAACACAAGCAGCCAAAAACAACAGAAAACCCTACAAGTTACTTTTATAAATAGCACAAGAAATTTTTCCATTACTTACTTTTTTATTTTTCTTAATATTAGTTCAATCACCCGATATATAGTTTATTGGACCAGCTCATAAAAAAATAATTTTGAAAAAAAGCGCTGCTACTCATCAACTTAAGAAAAGAAACTCTTTGTAGGCAACACAATAAATATTTACGTTACATATTTTAAAAATTTAGCAGCTGGTCTGTTGTTATAACTGAATGTTTGTTGTGTAATTAGTCCAGAAATAATAGCATGCCAGTTTATATGATTTTTATGAATAATTTCGCTCTTTCACTAGCAATAGTAGCATTGACACGTTAGCCTTTGAACATGTATACTGCTAACTAAAAAATTTCAACACATTTTGTTACATTTTATTCCTATAAGACACAAATAAGTATTTAGAAGATTTTAGTACTTATGTATTAGCATGTACATAAAAAGATTTCAAGTTTAAAGTGGGGTGTGAAATTAATAGAGACACTGTGTATTTGTTGCTTTATCTTTTTCTTTTTTTCAGGCGGGCGATCAGAAATCCATATCAAATGCAGCCAGAACAAGGGCCGAGAAGGAAAAAGAAAAGGAGAGAAAAATCGGACATCGAAGAGTGGGAGTTGGAGGCGAGATCACCTATAAGAAGATCCAAACTACCCAGATTATGGGATCTATCCAACTCGGTAAGAATTTACTTAGTAAATAAACATGTCCATCACTAAAAACCGAGCTAAAAACAAAAAATATCTTCATTTGAAATGCAAAATTGAATGTAAATTAAATTAGCACATCTTTTTCTGTTTGTTTTCTATTATCACCAGATTAGATTATTTTTGAAATCTTATCATGGGAGTCAATTATTTACATATGGTTTTAAACTGCCTTAAGAAAATGCTACCTACTCTTTGTTGGTCAAGTTCTGAAGTAACTGAGCTGCTTGTTTCGCACTCTATCATTAGTTTGTCTCTGACACAGATTCAGATTGCTCATCCAATTGGAAAATTTAGTTGTTTATATCGCAATGTACAAATACCTATAGAACAATTCATATACTACTGAGTCAACTTTACTCTGATAACGTTTATGATTCAACCTTTGACAAAATTTCATATTGTTGTTACTCATTGGCACGCGTGGAGCATGTTGGAAATATTGCGAGCGTTTGTTGAAAAAGTGCATTTTTAATTGCGTACCTAGTTCTTAATGCATTTAGAAGTGACGTGAAATTAGTAGAGCTAAAATCCCATCACAATAGAATTTCTCTGTTTAATAAATTTCAAAGAGAAACCTGGAAAATAATTTTTAATCAGGGGTAATGAGTATAAGACTGAGAGTTTCAGGTTCTAAACTTTGATTGGCAAGATGAATTCTGTCTTGGCGAATTTATTTTTCTTGTGATATTGAAAATTTCTTCCCATACCTATTAATATTTCTTTTTTCTGCAACTCACAGCTACCTTATGATTTTTGAAACTTTTAAAAATCATAACTTATTTTCGATTATAGGTGAAAAGCTGAAAGTTTCAGCGATTCTTACCCTAATGTAGGACTACAATCCCTGAAAATTGCAACTCATTTGGACTTATAGTTCCAGAAATGAAATCGCGTTAAGCAATTTGTGGTGGATTTATCATTTTTTCAATTTCCTGCCGTCATTTTATATAGATTTTATATCAAACACTTTATTAGCAATAAAAAGCTCTTACAAAATGATTTTATGAAATATTTTAAACCAGTAGGTATATACCCAACATGGAATGTCTGGAAAAGTATTCAACAAAGTCTATAAAGTTCTCAGTGGCGTAGCCAGCCTCACGGAGCGGGGGGAGCAAAGATATATGGGGGCGCCTCGAATTTTTTTTCTTTTCGGTGGAAAGGGGGGGGGCGGATAATAAATTGTTTGTTTGCTTTTGTAAAATTTGCTTATGGGGGAAAATAATATGAGACGAAAAGCCGGACGCAGGCGCCGCCGGAGGCGAAAAATTTTCCCGGATGTCACGCTTAAAAAAGTTTATTTCAAGCCTTCAAAAGCAATTTTTTTTCGGGTGCGAAACACATTTATTTTAAGCCTTAAAGAAAATAATGTGTGGACATGCCGTTAGACACGGATTACTTCAAAAAATCATCCCGGACGGCTTCAGACACCTTCAGAACTAGAACAAATCCGGGGAAATCCGGAAGAATGACAGCCCCACTCAATCCATTAACCAAAACCTCTAGTTTAATCAACAAATAAATATATTGAAATTCATAATAATTTTTTTTCAGAAAAAAAAAATGTAGGTAATAGAACAGATCAGAAACTGAAATGAAAATAAATAAATATCAGGCATTTGCCGACAATAACGACTTACGAACAAGAATAAAGGGTGAAGACTATGAAGAGGTTAACAAAATAAATAGGAAAGAATGTAATTTTATAATTTCTTAATTTTTGCTTTTGTCTTTTAAGAGCGGTAGGGGCGCCGCACATACAGGGGCGTGGGGGGCCGTCGCCCCCCCTGCCCCCCTACTGGCTACGCCACTGAAAGTTCTTACATATTTTTTACATTCAGTCTTAAATCTAGAGTAGGAGTCACATTGCTTCAATTCTGCGGGTATACTGTTAAACATTCTTAAGCCTACACTAAACAAAGTGTCACTCACACACTGAAAATCACTAATGTAAAAATTATTTACCACACTGGATCGCGTTTGGTATGAATGAACATCTCGCACATAAGTAACTTCATCAGATAAATATGATGGTAACATAAGTATTATGTTTTAGTTTGAAAACAAAAGTTAGCATTATGTAAGTAGATCTTTGTTGTACATTCATAAGGTCTAATTTCTCCAGCATGGATTTCATTTGTGTTCTTTTGTTACAAAGTAACATTGCTCTCATGCAACGATTTTGCAGTTTTTAATTTTGACTTCAGATCTCGGAATAATTTAGTGTAGGGAGTTTGAGGAGTCCCAGTCCCAAATGATCATTCAAACACAAAATCTAAACATACAAAATTTGAAATTTCATCATTTTTGTTAGTACTAAGGTAGCAACCTTATGATTTGGATTTTTGAAAAATTTGACAAGTCATAACTTTTTTTCTATTATAGATAAAAAGCTGATTTTTTCAGCGATTCCTATCCTAATGAAGGATCACAATCCCTGGAGATTTCAACTGATTTGGAATTATAGTTCTTGAAATTGAATGACGTTAAGCAAATTGGAGTGAATTTATCAATTTTTCAATTTCCTGACGTCCTTTTCTCATAGATTTAGGCTTCAAATCTCAGAATAATTTACTGTATGGTGCTTGGGGGGTCCCAGGTGATCATTCAAACACAAAATCTTGACATAAAAAAAATTTAAATTTCATAATTTCAGTACTATCCAATTCAATTCAAATAAGCTTTATTGTCCTAATTTTTTCAAAAGATCATTGACAAAGCAAAACTTAATTCAAAACAATTTCTTTCATACCTATGACTACCTAATCTATGTCAACAATAAATAATTTAGTCTACAAAAATACAAATATAAAATTTGAAACAGAAAAACAGTATAAAATTTACGAGCATGTAAAATCAACATTAAAATAAAATCAAAAACATTTACAAGATTATCCGACAAACAAACGAAGTTTTAAAGTTTATAAACATGATGTACAGGGTGTCCGAATTTGGATGGTTTTAATAGGAAACATCAATTTCTGAGCAAGATACAAAAAAATGAACCCCCCACTCCGAGGCTCAAATTTCTTGAAATTTTGATTGGTGCGAACTGCATTTTGATATCTTCAACCGTTTAGCCGCTAGAGGGCGATTCTCGATTTTGAGCAATAATGTGAAACCATCATAACTTTTTTGTTTATGAAAATTATTGATTTCCGTAAAAACTTTCTAGAAGCACTTTTTCAAGCAGAATTCAGTGACGTTCTCAGTTTTTTTCTGTTTGGCTTCGATTTCGAGATATGGACCAAAATCCGATTTTTTTCAATAGGACACCCTATATATTAATAGCTCATTAGAAAGCTATGCTTTTCCTGATTTAATGATATAAAGTTCGATAGGTTTATCTCTAACAGTTTTCGAGAAAAAAAATTATTTCGGTTTTTGTCATAAGAAGCAATGTGTAAGAAAAGGACTTTATATCTGTAAGGAAACTGAGAAAGGTCTCTTTCCAACACATTGTTTCTTATGACAAAAACCGAAATATTTTTTTTTCTCGAAAACTATTAGAGATAAACCTATGGAACTTTATATCAATGAAGTCAGAAAAAGCAGAGCTTTCTAATGAGCTATTAATATATAGGGTATCCTATTGAAAAAAAAACAGACTTTGGTCAATATCTCGGAGTTGGGACCAACTAGAAAAAAACTGAGAACGTCACTGAATTCTGCTTGAAAAAGTGCTTCTAGAAAGTTTTTACGGAAATCAATAATTTTCATAAACAAAAAAGTTATGATGGTTTCACATTATTGCTCAAAATCGAGAATCGCCCTCTAGCGGCTAAACGGTTGAAGATATCAAAATGCAGTTTGCACCAATCAAAATTTCAAGAAATTTGAGCCTCGGAGTGGGGGGTTCATTTTTTTGTATCTCGCTCAGAAATTGACGTTTCCTATCAAAACCATCCAAATTCGGACACCCTGTACACTTTAAAAAACTGCACAATTAACAAATAATAGTTATTTATTGTATAAGTGTTTTAGGAAGCATTTTATCCACGCAAGAATGTTTAAACGCGAGAACGAAGTTCGAGCGTTTAATTTTCTTAAGTGGATAAAATGCAACTAAAACACGAATGTAATACAACGTTTCATCCACAATCACACGTACATACACATGGCGGATGGAAGAGCTCCTCTGTTGCTGAAAGTTATATCGAGGATTCCATTTCCAATAAGCTTGGTATTGCAAACAAAATTCAAGGGAAAAATAGGTGTCCCTTACAAGAGGAGACACCCATTATTCCTGTTCCTGGTAATTCTGCTAAAACACCCATAAAAGTGCGTTCCCTAGCTGATGGAAATTATCACCTTTTTACCAACAATAACGAAGTTATAGGAGACAAATCAAACAACGGAGTATCTATTAATATAAATGTTAATGTTAATATCAATAAATAATTTTGGTGCGATTCTGTATGCGATGTAACGTACTGTAGGGATGTAACTTTGAGAGCTGTAAGGATGTAACGAAAAAGGAATTCTGTAACTTACATCGCGCTGTAAAATATTCTTACACCTACTGTAAATTTACGTCGCGGGAAATGGAGACATACCTCACATAACATTGTTGACGGTATGCAACAAATTTTTTTTTCTGTTGCACAAAATCGCAAAAAGAAACGTTTTGAGTGAGATATTAGTTAATTATGGAATTATTATATGTAGATTCGGCCTTTCATCATCATCATCATCATCATAGGCAATCACTCGAGTATGATTATCTTCTATTCTATTCTTTTTCGATTGTGCGTTTCTTGATGGCTATATAAACCAATTCTGAAGCCGCACGCTATTCCATAGTCTTGGAACACCCAAGGCCTCCACAAAAAAGCTGATCCGATTACAATGAATTAACGCGATCACCCAGCTGCTGTAATTTGTCTGTTTTCAATCGCGTTCATTGAAGAAAGGAGCAAAATAAACAGACTGTGATCAGGTCAACCTACCTCAATGGATCAATCGGTTCAGCTTTTCCGTAAAGGCCTTTTGTATTTGATTTATACCAGGAGGACTATAGACGGTAAAGATATGACACCTTTATTTCAAAATATCTCAACTTCAAAAATTGTCAAATTACAAAAATATTAGGTAACGTTTATTACTACGATGTTAGGAGCGCTATAAATGAAGCGCTGTAACTATGTACTTTACACCAGGCGTTATAGAATACGAGTTTTGGTGTTCAATGTAAGTTCCAATTATACATCGCGATATAAACTTACGCGCTTTAAAATTTACATTGATGTAAGGCGGTTTACAGAATAGGCACAAAAATAAAAATTTCGTATTTTTTAATTACATTATTCCACTGGTGGAATAATAGTTATTTTCCTAACAAGTGCGCAAATTGTTACTTTTCCGCACGCAAACACAGTTATACGAACGACGCGAAGCGGAGTTCGGATACGTTCCTTTTCACACATTCCTTTTTCAAATAATCAACTAGCCTTTTTTACTACCTTCTCTATAATTTTTGATAGCGTTGTCAACAAGGAAATCGGTCGATAAGAAGATCGATCATCTTCATTACCCCCCTTGAAGATGGGAAGAATTACCGCTAATTTTAGGCAGTCCGGAAAGTTTCCTGTTTCAAAGGATTTATTAATGCTACTGGCAAGACTTATTAAGGCATTGTCTGGTAAATTTTTAAAGATCTTCACTGATATGTCATCTATGCCAGACGAGTTTTGTTTCTTAATGTTTTCAATTATTAATTCCAATTAATTCATCTTTGTTTGTAGGTATTAGCTTGAAAATTTCAGACTGATTACACGGAACAAGATAATTTACTGGATCGTTGCAAGTTTCCAAGCCATTCGAGAGTTTTTCAGCAATACTACAATAAAATTGATTAAGTCCTCGCGGATTCACATTTATATCTTTATTCTGTTTTGACTGTTTTCCTCGCATCTCAACCACGATCTTCCAGTATTCTCGGCTGGAGTTGTTTGCATTTTTTATTCCGTCTTCATAGTGTTGTTTCTTAGCGAGTTTTATTATCTTCCTACTGTAGAAATTTGGGCTGAATATATCATTTTTTCAATTTCATGACGACCTTTTTTTTCATTAAATGAACCCAGTAGTCAGGACTGTTTTCTGAAATTCACAAAGCAAAGCTGTTGAGAATTTTTTTGCTGGAAAAACAAATTATGAGACGAGCTTTGTTTTCCAAATCTCACAATACACTATATTTATCGTTTTGTTGTTTCTTTGATTATTGAAAAGTTAGATGACAAATAATTGTATTGTTGTCATCATTATGGTCTGTGACGAATAGCAATCAATATATTTGCCCCTGTCCGAGTACCTAGTGATTTCGTTAAGAGACCAGAAGGCAACAAGTATGATAATGATTACTATGTGTTGAAAAGTAAGAGCCCGGGCTTATTTCCCTAGTCTTTTTTTGGATGGATAATGGAATGTATCGACTTTCTATGAACCTACTGTGACCAGCAATTAAATAAAGTAGCTACAACATAATATGTGTTTTTTGACTAATTAGAATCGAATCAGTAATCTCATAATGCCACCCACTCACTAATAATAATAATATAATTGGGTTCATATATGTTTTCTATTCAAAAATTCACGGAATTTATCAATTATTTCCAATAATCGACCTATTGAATTTGAGATAAAGTTGATATGCATACTTAGATCTTTTATCAGAAATTATCAGGAATGTGACCCTAATATTTTTTTATTGATATGAAAAACATATTTGATTCAAGCAAAAACACTGGTATGTATTTTGAGAATCTAAAAAAAAAAAAACTGTCAGGAATGCAATCTGACGAATAGAAACCTAATCTGTAATCCCATTTAGACCTTCAGATAGTGACATATTTAGGTGCCCCATTTTCGCATACAAGCCTCGAGGAGGGTTGAAAAGTACATCGATTTTGGAAACATATGGAAAATTCGATTTTCCATAACAGAAATGAAAGACGTCCTGGTGCCCATATTTTCTCGCAAGCTGTGTTCACCAAAGGATTAAATAATAAATCCTGGCTTCATGAAAACCAAGAAGGGGGTGTTGCAGGTGGCTGAAGATTTGAAATAAGGACGTAATCTTGTGAGGCAAAATCGAAATTTTGGGCGATTTTTCCACACAAACCCATCAAAAGGATGAAAATTTACAAAGTTGGTAGCAAGAAAACATATTGGCTTGAGTGTCGCGAATGGAAGAGTACATTTTAGGGTAACATAAGTAAAATCGAATTTTCTATATGTTATCCCCAGGAGCCACTCGTGAAAATACCTTCATCCTACTCAAAATCGATGTACTTTTCAACCCTCTTCGAGGCTTGTATGCGAAATTAGGGCACCTAAATATGTCACTATCTGAAGGTTTAATTGGTCGGCCAGTTATACGCGTACATTTATCTTGCAGATAGTTACCAGCAAGTTTATCTGGAGATAAATAAACCGAACCTAAATAAGGTATTAGAATTCCCTGTGCTGCTAATTTACACTTTTATTTTCTCAAACATTTCATTGAAACCAGTTTTTGTAGCCAATATTCGATCAAAAGTCACTCATTAGGCAAATTAAAATTTACCAGAAACCGAAAATATTGATAGTTAGGCAAAAAACATGGAGAACTTTGGACAATAAAACATGTTTTCCAATTGATTAATTTTCATTTTAGAAATAATTGCAATGTTTTGCTTACTACGAATTTTATAGTTTGTGTAAAAAAAATTCATTACCAATAATTATTTTTATTGAAGGTAGTTAGAATGGTATTTCTACCGGTATTTCTTATCACAAAATTAATTAAATACGAGATTGCACATTTATTAATCACTGGTTGAAATAATAATGTTTTTAGTTAGTCGTTTATCGTCTATTCACGCACTCCTAACAGAACAGGCTTATAACCTACAAGGTTCAGAATTTGCTAAGAGTGAACGAAATATTTATTTATTTTGATAAAAAATGAAAACGCGTCTTGATAATTTCAGTGATAGCATGATTTGCTTGGGATTTGTTAAGAATCAATCTCATCTGAGTATTAAGTTACAAACAGGTGTGTAATAATATACTGGATAATAATAATTATTGGCCATAGTTGAAATGTAATTTTAATATTTTATCAGTTGGTTCCATAAGAAACTATCTATCTGCCTAACAACAACTAAAAATCAGAAATTATTTTTATATTTCATTGCTATGATACCTCCTCTTCATTGTTATTCTGTTCACATTAAGGTACAAATTTATTGGTGGTAAATTCATTCAAACATCATTCTGTCAAAGCCTAATGGCACTCTGATAAGATATTTTAAATTTTTTAAAACCCAAAATCATGCATAACCACCATTATTACTTCACAGCTAAACGGTTTTAGATAATGGAAACTACAACAGGAATTCCCAAAAAAAAAAAGAAATTTACACTTTCCCAAGTATAATGTAAAGGTGTATAATTTGTTTACTTTTTCATTTGACACTCACACAAGTTAATGACGTACCTTAACTTAATTATACAAATAATGATAGGATGTATTTAACAAGATGATTTTTATTTAATTTTATTAATTAATTTTGGTTAATATTTGTGCTGACGTTTTCTTTAAGCCAAATAATGATGTCACCCTGAATTATATTTTGATTACATCTCCAAGAACCACAATAACATTATCATTTATTTGTTTGCGATATTCCAATTTTCAAATTTTGTTTACATTTCCATTATCATTTATTGACAGACAATGTATGAACCTATGTATTTTGGGTTAAGGTCAGTAGTGATATTATAGTATTGTGATTCCTGTAGCATTGAGAATCATTGGCTTCAACTTGTAGTTCCTGTTTCTATGGTTATTTTATGTATTTAATTTATGTGTAGTGAGAATTAAGATGATTACAGGTATACGTTTTGTGAAGATTTCGTTCTAGATTTTTTTATAGAAAAAGTTCCATCATAACAAAATAATAAGATGATAATATTTGTTAAATATTTCAAAGAACTAATTATTGTAAGATTCCACAAAGCCTCAAAATTCTTTGAAATAAAGTTTTAAATATGTAATTCAATAAAACATGCTTATATAAAGGGAATAATTGGACAATCAATTTCTATCATATTTTTCAGGTATCCAACATGCTGTAGGTGGTCTAGCTTCCAAACCAGAAAGAGATCTGCTCATGCAAGATTTCATGACAGTCGAAACTACAAATTTTCCTAACGAAGGCTCCAATCACACACCTGCTCATCACTATTCAGATTTCAAATATAAGAATTACGCCCCGATAGCTTTCAGATATTTCCGAGATTTGTTCGGAATTCGGCCTGATGACTTTCTGGTGAGTAATATAATAATACTTTGCTTTTTTTAGATTAGGCTAATGTACATTTTTAGATGTCTATGTGTGATACTCCACTAAGAGAACTCTCCAATCCTGGTGCTAGTGGTTCTATTTTTTATTTAACGGCAGATGATGAGTTTATCATTAAAACTGTTCAACATAAAGAGGGCGAATTTCTTCAAAAATTATTACCAGGTAGGTAATCATTCCCATATAAAATTCATAAAAAAAAACTCTTTGTTGCTTCCAGGTTATTATATGAATTTAAATCAGAACCCTAGAACATTACTGCCAAAATTCTTCGGCTTATATTGTTATCAATGTAATAGTAAAAACGTAAGGCTAGTAATTATGAACAACTTGTTACCTAGCAATGTAGCTATGCATCAAAAATATGATCTAAAAGGGAGCACATACAAAAGAAAGGCATCAAAAGCTGAAAAGGCGAAAAGATCGCCCACCTACAAAGATTTAGATTTTATGGAGCACCATCCGGACGGAATACTAATGGAAGCTGACACACATAAGGCCTTAGTCAATACCATACAACGAGACTGTCGGGTTTTAGAAAGTTTTAAAATTATGGACTACAGTTTGTTGTTGGCTATACATAATTTGGATCAAGCTCAAAGGGAGAAATTGGTAAAAAAGTTTTATTTTTATTATCCGAGCCTCATTTAAAGACGAGCGTTATTTTTCAGGAAAAAAATTCTCATACGAATCTGGAACACGTGCCACAAGACGGCGACGTAGGTGGTCCGAGTAATCGAATGTTGTACGAAGAAAGAGAACGAGAAAGAGACGACAGAATAGGAGCTTCAGCTTTGCTCAATAGAAGTAAATCCATAAACAGGCAGAGGCTGGTGGCTCATTCCACAGCCATGGAAAGTATACAGGCTGAGTCGGAACCTATAGATGAGGACGATGATACACCGTGAGTAGGCTTATTTTTGCTTTCTTTTGCCATGCGACAATTAATAACCACTTTTGTCTATTTTCAATGTTTGCATTTGCCGAGTTTTTGGCTCAATCACGAAACCTACAGAATTAATTGATCCAGTTGCGGTTTTCGCGTACCCCTATTTACTAGGCAGGGTAATCTTTGTTTTATTTATGTACAGGGTTATTGGTTATAAATGTCACTCCTCTCTACCTTTTTTATTTGACATTTTAGAAAGACGTGTCCAAATAAAAGTTTTATGGTTGAAATAAATTTAAAAAAAAAAAACACTTTCGCATATACAGGGTATTTCAGAAAAGCTGGTCGTAGTCCAACTTTCTAATTTTAAATGGAATATCCTGTATATTATTGAATATTTGGATTCTACATGAAATTCTAAGCAGATTTCATGTGATAATATACCCTATACCTAAGTTCAATTGTTTTGGAACTATTGACAGTTGAAAATTGACTTTTTCACAACTTTGACAGGTTATAAATCCTAAACGGTTAATTTTACAGCAAAACCGATTTTACATTCTCATCTTAAGCTTTTCATAGGCTATCATTTGACACCAACTTTGAATTTAACCAGAGATTAAATTTAAATGGAATTTTCAATCATGGATTAAATTTAAAGTTGGTATCAAATGATAGCTTATGAAAAGCTAAAGATGAGAATGTAAAATGGTTTTGCTGTAAAATTAACCGTTTAGGTTTTACATCCTGTCATGCAAAAAAGTCAATATTTCACACACAGTTAAACTTAGGTATAGAGTATATCACATGAAATCTGCTCAGAATTTTAAGCTGAAGTTAGACCACGGCCAGCTTTTTTGAAACATTCTGTATATGCGAAAGTGAGTTTGAAAAAAAATTATAATTTGAACCATTAAACTTTTATTTGGGACACTTCTTTCTATATACAATGTGTCCAAGATAAGGAGGGGTAGTATGGGGATTTGATGATATGGTGGACCAAAGACGAAACTCCGGTTTACAAATTTGATAATGCAATATTGTAGAGGATGAAAAGTGGCAATGATGAAGTGCCATTTATTTCGAAATATCTCTTCAAATAAGGTCAGGAAAAAATAAAATGGTTTTGGGCGAATTTCGGGTTTTCCCGGATATTTCCACTGTCACTCGGAATTTTTGAAATATCAGAGCGGTATTTTAATGAGAACAGAATTGCGCAACTTTTTCCTAATTTGAATAACGTCGTATCTTTCACTGTTTCGGAAATCCCCATATAGGCCCTCCTTATCTTGAACACATTGTATGTGAAGGGGTGAGAACCAAAAGGGTCTAAGCGACAAATGATGTATTTTGAGATATTTGGAGTTAAAGTTAGTTGCTTTCTGTAAATTCTGTAGATATTTTGTCGTTATTATTTTTATGGTATCTGATGTATGTAATTGTTTTTTGTAATAATTACGAAAATTTGCTAATAGTCTTGAATTTTTTTTTAATGTCACTTAGACTCTTCTGATTCTTTACAATTAAAGAAAAAAAATTGTTTGCGATATTTTTATTAGGAAAATTCAACTTACCAATACAAAATATGGGTATTTTAGTATGCTTTATAAACAAAAATACTTTTAGTAGTCTTTGTAGTAGTCAGAAAGTACTATGTTATCTTCTTCATCAGTTTCATCTTGTGTTTCTTTTTCTTCCAAACCACTTGGTTTATCTCTTGCCCTCTTGTTGAGGATTTTCAGTTCATAAGGCATTTTTTGATAAAAATCGTAGTATATCATATCGGAGGAATATAAGGCAGAAGTTGAATCAAATTTGCCCGAAAGGCTTTTGTGAGAACAGACCTTAATGTTGTGTTTACAGACAGTTGACGTCACAAATTCCACCACCTTGAAGCTAATCGTTTTCGCGCCAACGAAAATAATTTGAAATTTAAAATAATTTTTTTATTTAAATGAGGACATAAAACAAACAAAAATATATACATTTTATATTTGAAAACATAAGCAATAAGAAAAAAAATACTTTGAAAAATATGATTGTTCCCTATTATGAATATTTTCATTATAAACTAATTTTGTATTGAGATATTCAAGTCTCATACCATTTCTCATTTTAAAGATAAATATCATTGCCTCAAACTCCAAAAAATACCCCACCGATAACCAGTTCAAGTTTCGTAGAAGTGCCTTTATCGGAGTATCCGTAGGCACATCTAGTAGAATATGCATGGATTTATTTTGTAATTTTTGCAAGCGATCTATTTCATTTTTGTTGGCCATGTATAAAACTGTAGATGCCATTACTAAATACTTTAACTGTCACAATTTGTATTAAAGACTCAAAAACTGTATGCACACTAGATAAAAATCACATACTAAACGCAATTTTCCCCCACCATATACAGGTCTGCGAATTCAAGAGTTTGAAATAATACACAAAATTTTAACGTCAAAACGATCCAAGTGATCTTAGGCCATTTTTCGCTAGACCCTTTTGGTTCTTACCTATTTATATATACCCGGATTTACATAGCCCGTGCATTCAAAGTTCTCAAGTTTGCAGATGAATTAGTAGAAATATCATCTAGGGCCGATACTTTTGCTCTCAATTAACGAATTTGATACGTTGTCAAAGTTTTGCATGAGCTAAAAGTATGATGTGGTTAGAGCTAATCTCTGATTATTTTTAACGGCTGTTAAATGAGAGCAAAAGTACCGGCACCTAATCTACCAGCAGGCTAATGCACGGGTTATGTAAATCATCCTATATATATATGTCGTTTTAGAGCGTCTTTTTTCATTGTCCGACATTTAATTTCCATCCATTCTATCTTCGGAATCCTCTGATTAGAGATTTCTTTAACTCGTGGATTTTTGTATGGTCTGCCATTCCAGTTTTGGTCTTCCTCGTTTTTTTCTACCTCTTGGTTGCCAATGCAGCATTTTTCTGGGTCCCCTGGGCTGGGACTCTGTAACGGATAAAGATCGTTATCCCTATCGCTATGGCACTTGCTGTCTTTTTCAATCTTTTCGAAATCAATAGAGAGGGGACGTCAATAGAGATAGAGAAAATATCTCTATGCGTTACAGAGTTCCAGCCCTGGTATCTGGCATTCATTCTACGTGTCCAGACCAGGTGAGTTGTTTCCTTTCAATGTCATGAACTATTGTGCCTTCTATTTCCATTTGTTGTTTTATATTGTCGTTCCTTATTCTCTCTGTTCATGAGATTCGCATGGATCACCTAATAGCATCCAACTGCTTTCACTTTCTTCTTTTTGTACTAGTAGGTATAATATAGGTAGGAAAAGGTAACTAGCGACAGATGTTGGAACCTGAAAATAGTAATGAAGTTAGCTTCAAATAGAGTATCTTCCATTCGTCTTCTTACATGGTGTCAGGTTCTCCAAATGCCTAGATAAAACCGAATGAAAATCCACCTTTAGATGTGAAAGAAGATATACAAGCTTTGAGAACACAGGTTCAAAATTTGCAAGCATTGTTGGCGCAACAAAATGTTTTTGGACGAGGGGAAAGTCAAACCGAATCTACACGAGAAACTTTAGAGAGCAGCATCAGAGACGTTCCAAAGCCTGAAAAATTTGTGTTTGAAAAGAATGAATAGGAAAAATGGTTGAAACACTATGACACGTCTGCAGCAAAAGATTATTCTCTTGCTGATGTCATGGAAAAACTGTGTACTATGGAGAGCAAATATGATGTGCTTTTTAAGGAGTATGAGGAATGTTCAATTAGAAAAGGAACTGGTAACTATAAAACAACAACTTAATAAATGGGAGCAGCGAGAACTGGAAAAAAATGTAATTATTCAGGGAGTACCAACTCACGCTAATGAAAATCTAAATGAAGTTATAAAAAAATTTGCTAGAAAGCTAGATGTAAACTTGAATGGCACTTTTTCGGCTTTTCGCCTTGGCAACGATCCCAAGAAATCCTGTCCTATTAAAATCGAATTCCAGGATATTAAGGACAAAGAGTCGTTTGTAAAATCCAAAAAGAGGCTAAATCTACACACTCATGATTTAGGATTTACAGAAAACAATAGAGTATACGTGAACCATGATCTTACTAAACTCAACCTGCAGTTGTATATGGCCGCGAAAACGTTTAAGAAAGAACATAATTACAAGTATGTATGGCTGTCCCGTGGTAACGTCTTTATCAGAAAGGAGGATCAATCCAAAATCATCTTAGTGGAAAGTAAGGAACAATTGTCTGAATAGCAGTCGACAAAAAGTAAGTTAACCGTCCTATATATGAACATTCAAAGCCTTCGTAATAAGTTCGATGATGTACAATGCCTTCTAGTTCGAGAAAACTGTGATATTTTGGCTCTGTCAGAGACGTGGGTGAGTGACAATGAATCTTGTTTATATGAATTAGACAATTACAACTCAGTACATTGCTGTAGAGAAAAAAGGGGTGGGGGTGTTTCGTTTTTCATAAAGAAATCATTAAAATTCAGAATGATAGGTATATCTGAAAAAAGCTGTGAAGCAAGTTGGCTGTGTATCAAATTGGATGACTGCAATATTAAACTTAGTCTTATTTATAAGCCGCCATCATTTAATAATGGGGATTTTTTCTCTGATTTAGAGAATGTATTAGTAAAGCATTCAAAAAGACATGTCTTAATTGGCGACATAAATATTAATTTATTAGAAAATTCAAACCTAGTTACAAATTATAAAAGATTGTTAACTTTAAATAATTTTAAAATAGTCAATCACATAACAGAGGAAAATGCTACACGAGTCACCCCAAACCATAAAAGCTTAATTGATCATGTTATTTCCGATTATAACTCAAATTTAATAAATCTAATTGATGTACAGTATAACAGTTTATCAGATCATAATAGACTGGCAATCCAAATACAGGCTAGAACCAAAATTTATAAACCAAAAATTAAACAAACAATTAATTGTTTTGATAAGAAAAGGTTCATTTCTACATTTAGATATAAAATCACTAGTAATTCCATAGAAAATT